AAACATCATTATTTTAAAAAAGTCATAACTCCATTAATAATAACTCAATTCAATCCCTTTGAGTTTCAAGTATTTATTAAATTAAATCTTTAGGAAAAAGTCCTCAAAATTTCAACTCTACACTCACTTCAGTTTTTGAGTGAAAAAATTGTTTGTAGAGTATTATACTTTATAAAACATCATTATTTTAAAAAAGTCATAACTCCATTAATAATAACTCAATTCAATCCCTTTGAGTTTCAAGTATTTATTAAATTAAATCTTTAGGAAAAAGTCCTCAAAATTTCAACTCTACGCTCACTTCAGTTTTTGAGTGAAAAAATTATTTGTAGAGTATTACTTTACAAAACATCATTATTTAGAAAAGTCATAACTCCATTAATAATAACTCAATTCAATCCCTTTGAGTTTCAAGTATTTATTAAATTAAATCTTTAGGAAAAAGTCCTCAAAATTTCAACTCTACACTCACTTCAGTTTTTGAGTGAAAAAATTGTTTGTAGAGTATTATACTTTATAAAACATCATTATTTTAAAAAAGTCATAACTCCATTAATAATAACTCAATTCAATCCCTTTGAGTTTCAAGTATTTATTAAATTAAATCTTTAGGAAAAAGTCCTCAAAATTTCAACTCTACACTCACTTCAGTTTTTTGAGTGAAAAAATTGTTTGTAGAGTATTATACTTTATAAAACATCATTATTTTAAAAAAGTCATAACTCCATTAATAATAACTCAATTCAATCCCTTTGAGTTTCAAGTATTTATTAAATTAAATCTTTAGGAAAAAGTCCTCAAAATTTCAACTCTACACTCACTTCAGTTTTTGAGTGAAAAAATTGTTTGTAGAGTATTATACTTTATAAAACATCATTATTTTAAAAAAGTCATAACTCCATTAATAATAACTCAATTCAATCCCTTTGAGTTTCAAGTATTTATTACATTAAATCTTTAGGAAAAAGTCCTCAAAATTTCAACTCTACACTCACTTCAGTTTTTGAGTGAAAAAATTGTTTGTAGAGTATTATACTTTATAAAACATCATTATTTTAAAAAAGTCATAACTCCATTAATAATAACTCAATTCAATCCCTTTGAGTTTCAAGTATTTATTAAATTAAATCTTTAGGAAAAAGTCCTCAAAATTTCAACTCTACGCTCACTTCAGTTTTTGAGTGAAAAAATTGTTTGTAGAGTATTATACTTTATAAAACATCATTATTTTAAAAAAGTCATAACTCCATTAATAATAACTCAATTCAATCCCTCTGAGTTTTTAGTATTTTTTACATTGAGTCTTCAGGAAAAGGTCCTCAAAATTTCAACTCTACATTCACTTCAGTTTTTGAGTAAAAAAATTATTTGTAGAGTATTACTTTACAAAATATCATTCTTTTAGAAAAGTCATAACTCCATTGATAATAACTCAATTCAATCCCTTTGAGTTTTTAGTATTTTTTACATTGAATCTTTAGGAAAAAGACGTCAAAATTTCAACTCTACACTCACTTCAGTTTTTGAGTGAAAAAATTATTTGTAGAGTATTACTTTACAAAACATCATTATTTTAGAAAAGTCATAACTCCATTAATAATAACTCAATTCAATCCCTTTGAGTTTTTACGTACGTCGGACAGCTATGATTACGCTTTAGTGTAGGTCGAGCATATACAGGGTGACAATTAGAAAAGCAGCAATCAGGAATATTTCTTAGACAAAAAATACCATTAGGAAGATCTTAAATATATAACCTGTTGGATTATGGATACAGGTAAATTCGCCCCAATGACCATGAGTTTCAAAAGGTCTACTTTAGCCGCTCAGGTATAGCAGATAAGATTCTATGAGTATAAAAACATTATCTTATTTCAATTTTTGTCCTATATCCTATTTCCAATATAACCCCTTCTGTTTTGGAGACTGGGCTTTCCCGCCCCCTAATGATTTTTCTAAAATGAGAAACACCCCTTTGAAGCCGTGACCATTTCATTTCAGCTACAATATAGAATATGATCAATTGACTCGTCATCTAGAAAACACATAAACAATTTTGCCTGCGGCAAAGTTGGAGAGCATTCAGCTATTCTATTAAAGCCCCATTATAGGCTGAATATTTACGTTGTGCAGCTGACACCCAACACCAAATTATAATTCAACCATTTCTCGCCAGTATTCGGTAGTGCCCCACTGCTACACTTACCGTATATAGTATATTCAATGCAACAAATGGGATCCTAACCTATTATGGTGGACGGCCTCCCCAGGGGACACCAATTACCAAAAAGACATGATCAAATCCTAATTTGTTGCTCTGGATAATCAGTGAAACGCAACTTCAATAATTGTTATTAAAAACATTTACAGCAAAATGTTTTCTTAATAAATAAATAAATTAATGAGATCTTCTTCATATAGTATTTTTTGTCTAAGTGTCAAATTGTCACCCTGTATGTCTGACGTGGCCTAGATGGAAACATCACTGTCGGGCAGTTTTGCCCGACGTGATATGCAAATGGTCTCTAAAAATTTCATTTATTCGACATGACTTCACAGAATCATCTATAACTCCGTTAATATTTCATATATTTCAATGTAAAAATAACTATTCTGAATTAGAATTTAATGTTCTTCAAGATGAAACAAGTTTCATTCCAATATTTGAGACAGTTCTGAGATATGAGCCTCCAAAGTTGAAACTTTGAGTCAGATTTCCATAGAGCTCCTTTGATTCTACATCAAAAATTATTTTTTCGAGTTTTTCAAATTTTCTGACTTCACCAGTCGAAAAATAAGGTCAAATTTGGTAGAAAAACATTGTGACAACTCTATGTTAAAGGTTTCAAGGCTTGAAACAAATTGAAAACACTTATTGGTCTCTAAAAATTTCATTTATTCGATATGATTTCACAAAATCATCTATTACTCGGTTTAATATTCCATATATTTCAATGTTAGAATAACTATTCTGAATCAGAATTTGATGCTCTTCAAGATGAAACAAATTTTATTCCAATATTTGAAACGGTTTTGAAGATATGAGCCGCCAAAGTTGAAACTTTGAGTCAGATTTCTATAGAGTTCCTTTGGTCTTACATCAAAAATTATTTCTTTGAGTTTTTCAAATTTCTGACTTCACCAGCCAGAAAAATAAGGTCAAATTTAGTAGAAAAACATTGTGACAACTCTATGTTAAAGGTTCCAAGGTTTAAAATATATTGAAAACACTTATTGATGTACGTTAATGACTGGCTTTCCAAAAGTGCACCCAACACCTCCATGAGTGTCTCAAAAAAATTGAAATTTTTCAAATTGCCTCTTTGAAAAATACAGCTACATAACTGGATAGCTATACTATCTTTATAAAAGAGTATTATTGTGTAATGCACCTGTAGATTTTTAGCTGAAAATGTTTAGTGGACTTCTACTAGCAATTTACCCCAAGGTGTTAATATGGGTAAGTTGTGTTGGGTCAGTTGAGTTGTTGCTAGTGGTATAATTAAGACTTAAGACCCAAAAACATCTTTGGATAATTTCCAGTGACAGATTAGCTATGGATTTAAAGTGAAATTGTGGACAAAAATCAATTTTTTTGGGACGACGCAGCATTTTATTACAACAGTATCTACATCCAGCATACAGCGTTCTATTCCAACAATACCTACATACTACATAACCAGAACCCAGCATTCTTTCTCACAACAGTGGATCATTTATCCTTCACACAAGCTCATCTATACTTTCTTCATTAAGGCATTTTTGGAAAGCCAAATCAAAAAAAGAAAATTAATGATGAAAATAGATACTGGAAAACTAATTTTTGGACACCCTGTATATTTTACTAATTGCCAATAGTTATAGAGAATCAAATGAATTACAAAAAAATAAAATAAGTTGGATTGTTCGAAATTTAGACATTAGAAAAATCAAGGGTTGTTTATTCAAGATTCAGTAAATCCCAATTACCAAAAAACAATTGTTGGTACTACTTACCAAAATCCAGAAGTCAATTGGTATGGGCACACGACACAATAATCTAAGCTTGTGTAAAAAAAAAATCGATAGTTCTCGGACGCAACTGACGGTGCTTTATCTCGGGCGATTGTACTCGACTAAATCTGAATAAATTTAAATCCCTTTGTCCGACAAAAACCCCCACAAAAAAAGGTAAACAGATAACGTAATAAATATGAATAAGTTAGAAGCAAAAAAAATTAACTACGTGATAGAATACAGGGTGGGCTAATGAAAACTTTCCACCCCGATTTTTTGGACTTGAAATGAAAATCTGGAAAAACGCTCAGACGCGTCAGTTTTTTATTTGAGGGGGACCCATTTTTTAGTTTTTATCACCCCTGTAGCTTCAACCCCCTAGCTGGGGGGAGCGCAACCGTCGTGTCATACCTCTTTTTAAAGGTCTATGACCCTAGAATTTCGTTTCATTATTTTTATTCATAACTGTTTCGTCCACTCAATAGTTTTAAGTTATTTGTATTAAATTGCTAAGATTGTCCTTCATTGAATTATTTTTGTTTTGTTTATTTTGCCAATTATTAATTGAAGTACCTACATACTGTAAACTGGATTAGGTAAGATCCCAATTGTACTCGTAATTTTGAAGCCGCAAAATACAGTCAACTTTTCTCATAGCTGATGCTCAGCTATAGACTAGATTCTCCAAGCCTCGCAAACCTAAGCCTGCATAGCGCTTCGCAATGACACTATAAATGACGGCAGTTTATTCTGCCTCATGGCAGACCCTGCACAGGCTATCCTCTACCAGGCTCATTCTTTCCAGGTGCTTGTTGAGTTCACAATGCCCTGTTAATTGGTCTACCGTTATCCTAACAATCCTAATAATCTATAAAAAAAGGCACTCGAAAAAATTGAAAAATTGATAAATCACCCCAAATTGCATAACACGATCTTATCTCAGGAACTATAAGTTCTAAGTTCTAAGTAAAAAAAGTTAATTCACCTTGAAATATGTTCCTAAGGCTTTGGCGGCTTTAAAATCCTCAATGAGACCAGAATCCAAGGTTCTCAGCAAACTGGAAAAAGAAGTCGAATGGTTGCAAGGCGAAAAACGTCAACTAGAAGCCCATTTATCCAGAACGGAAGTGTGGGCGGAAAATCTAGGAAGGTGGACTGCTAGTGTCCAAAGTGCCGAGGTAATTTATCCATCATCATTCAAAATTCATATTTATAATTTTTTCAAAATAGATTCCAGAAGAAAAAGAACCTCCTCAATTTGTCCTAGTTGTTCAAATGTCTGAAGAAGATGGAAATGGTGAAGAAGCTGGAATTTGTTCAGGCTGGGTAGTTTGTAGAAGCTTGACTCATTTCCAAGAGTTGCACAAGAAGTTACGACCTCTATGTTCTGACATAAGAAATTTAGATCTTCCCTCAAATTCGTTTAAGTTTCTATTTGGTAAAACCGATAAGGCTTCACTGGATAAGGCTAAAATACAAATTCAGAAGTATCTTGATGTAATTAGTTGTTGCGGCTAAAATATTGGTTATTAAATATTTGATTTTTAGTTTGTATTGAAAAATGATAGGCTTAATCAAAGTGAAGCGGTTTATTCTTTTTTAAGTCCAAGCTCTGAGCATTTAAAGCATTCCTCACCAAGTCCAAAAAAATCTAGGTTTTCATTTTCGACAATATTTAAAAGGTACTCTATCTCTATCATTATGTTTTTTTTTTTTCATAATATCCAAAATTTTAGCTCAAGTGAACAAGGCAATTCATTTTCAATTCTAAAAGAAAATTCCGAAGAAGACATATCACAATGCCTAGATACAGTGGCAGTAGATGCAATTGAGTTTGTTAAACCCAACGGCCAACCAATAAAAGTGTCTGAAGATGGAAAAGATTCTATTGCAGAACCACTTTATGCTCTCCTATCTGAATTATTTGACATGAGAGGTGTATTTAAGTATGTCAGAAAAACACTGATAGGATTCGTGCAAGTTACTTATGGTAAGAATTTTGTTTATACAACATAAAAAGTATTAACTGAAATTGTTCTTAGGTCGTAACATTAATCGTCAAATCTACGAAACGATATCGTGGTGGTTTTCGGAAGAGATGCTTCACTATTACGTCGCACAAATTTTGAAAAACTTTTGGCCAGGGGGTGCTTTGGCACCTGCCGGACCTAATCGTTCCAAAGAACAAAGACTTGAAACTGCACGAGAAGCTAAACAAATGCTTATCAATAATGTCCCAGAAATTTTGACAACTTTAGTGGGCGGAACTGCAGCTAAAAATGGTGCTAAAAAGGTGTTTGACGCGTTGCAAGAAAAAAATATGAATAAACAGTTGTTTTATGTGAGTAGTTTTTATTGTTTTGGAAGTTGTTTTATTTGTTTTTTTTTGTTTTTAAGGAAATTCTTGAAGCTACTCTGGACGCAGCTTTCCCAGAATTACAATAATGCAGATTGGATGGCCAAAGAGTATTATTTTAAAGTTTAAAATATTTATTTCTTGTTTATTATCTTTATTATGTTTTGAAGTTATAGGAGATTTCCAAACATAAAGTTTTTCCAAAATTAAAAACCGTCTATACAGGGTTTCATCTACTAAAACATTCACATTAATTATTGTTAAATTTTGTTGTGATAAATTATTATTATTATAGTTTTATAATAGGTAAGTATAGTGATCTAGTAAACGTAAGGCAATTATTGTGTCCTAAGATTGTATTGTAGTTATCACAATTCATGTTGTAGCACATAAATATATTGCAGATCTTCCTGACCAGACAGTTCTTAGACTGATTTTTGGTTCTGAGTTCACTGTTAAATCAGATAGGTAAGTGGTTTTACAGCTTCTATTTCTTACGAGTGATTAATCAATAATCATCTTGCAGCTCTAATAGACAGCCTATTAGTAATTCTTATCGCAAATAGCACAATATACTTGATAAAGTGGTTTTACTGATAGAATGGTTTTATATTAATTTTTTTGAGTTTTGTGACAATTTCCTGTAAATTATTTATTTGCCATTATCAATTAATTCTGTTACATATTTTGTTATTTAAATGCTGAGAAAATAAAAATAGGTGAGTTTTATTGGGGTTTTCTTTAAATTGAAATCTATGAAGACCTAACGCTTGATGGAAGAAAATTAAAGGCTTTCTTGGCATAATAAACAAAAGACTTCTTCATTAAGGTGCCTCTGGGAATTGGCAGTGGAATATTATTAGCTTGCTTAGTGCCGAAGAAAGTTATTCATTTTTGGAATTATTAACAACAACTCGTGTAAGTTTTTTGTCAAATACCACATTTCAAAATAGTAGTTAACATTTGTATCTCAATATTCGCCTTTATACTGTGATAAAACTATTCATATTTCAAGATAGGGCCATGTGTTTTTTCCATAGGCGCAACTAGGGGGGTTCTTGGGGGTGCTAACCACCCCTAAAGCAAAAATTAGCACTCTCATTCGGCATCCCACCATAGCACTACCTACAGTGGCACAACCTAACACTGATATACAAAAAAAAAATTGCACTTTTTGTACTTTCTTGCGTCATCGATGACGTCAGACAATGTTGTTAATGTCTATGTTTATTCTATATCTTAAGGTGACATCGAAATACCGGATTACAAACTTACTTTCCCGCGATTTTAAACCCATTTTTCTGCAAATTTTACCTCACTTTTCCTGTCTCACTTTTTCTCGCGATTTTCATCTCATTTTTTCGTGAGTTGATCCTCACTTTTTTTGCGATTTTTGACTCATTTTTTTTGCGATTTTTGTCCCACTTTTTTGCAATTTTACCTTCACTCGAATATTACCTTACTCTTTCTTACATAACTTTTTTCCACGATTTCATTCTCATTTTTCCGCGATTTATACCCCATTTTTTCGCGATTCTCATACCATTTTTTCGCGAATTTAACATCACTTTATTTACAATTTTTGACTCACTTGTTCGCGGTTTTGTCCTCACTTTTTTTTTTGTGATTTTAGCCTCACTTTTTTGTGATTTTACCCTCACTCCTCCGCGATTCCAATCTTATTTTTCCGCTATTTGATTCTCATTTTCCCACGATTTTTTCCCTACTATTCGCGATTAGTTCTTGACTTTTCCGCGAATTATACCTCACTTTTTTTGCGATTTTAAAATTTTTTTTTTTGCGATTTTTGACTAATTCTTTTGCGATTTTACCATCACTTACCGCGATTTTAAATCAACTTTTTCGCGATTGTAAACCCACTTTTCTGTAAATATTACCTCATTTTTCCGCGATTCTTGCCTCACTTTTTTTTGCGATGTTATTCTCATTCAAATATAACCTTATTTTTCCTCGAGTTTAAACTCACTTTTTTTGAAATTTTTGACTCATGTTTTTTTTTTGCGGTTTTTGACTCTTTATCACGAGAATTACGATAAGTTTTGAAAAGTTACGAAAAATTACGGGAATTGTAAATATCTTCGAGAAATACAAAAATTACGACGGAACATGACGGGAATTGCAGAAATAATGAAAAATTGCGCGAATTATGAGAAATTATGAAAAATACAAAAATTACGGAAATTGCGAAATATTACGGAGTTACTCCATAATTCCGTGAACTATTTAAATATTACGAGAAATTACAAAAAAAAATGACGCGTATTATGAAAAAAAAAAAAAAAAATTGAAAAGTTTCGAAAAATAACAAAACAAGTTACAGAAATTACGAAAAAATTGAAAAAATATATGAAAAATTACGGTGATTATAAAAATACACGAGAATTAAAAAAACTACGAAAAATGATGAGAATAAGGGAAATAACGAAAAATTTGCGGAAATTACGAGAGAGAGTTACGAAATTACTTCAAAATTACGTGAAATATTCATTCAAATATGTATTACGAAAAATTACAAAAATATTACGAAAATTACGGTAATTTTTAAAAAGTTATTAAAAATTACGGGAATTACGTTAAAGTACGTAAAATATGAAAAATTATGAGAATTGCAAACATTTACGAGAATTACGGAACATGACGAGAATCACGGAATAACAAAAAATTGCGGGAATTACAAAAATTATAGGAATTGCCAAATATTACGCAAAAGAATTTACTCTAAACTTACGTCAATTATTTAAATATTACTTATTTTTGAAAAGTTATGAAAACTAACAAGACAAATTACGGGAATTACGAAAAATAATGGGAATTATGAAAATTTACGGAACTTAGTGAAATGACGGAAATGACGAAAAATTACGGGAATTATGAGAAATTATAAAAATTACGGGAATTAAGGAAAATACGAAAAACTACAAAAATTACAAAAATTACGGGTATTACGAAATATTACGGGAAAGAATTACAAAGTTATTCCAAAATTACGTGAATTACGGTAATTCCCAAAATAACGGAAATCACGAGTTTTTGAAATTACGAAAATTACAATAACTTAGGAAGAATTAGAAAATTTCGAATTTTTTTGGAAATTAGGAAAGTTTAAAATTGAAAAATTGAAAATACAAATAATTACTGGAATTACGAAAACATCACGATGGAAAAAGCGCGAAAAATTGCAGGAATAACGAAAATTACTAAGTTTTCCAAAATTTGAAAAAAATAAGGGGGAATTAGAAAATAACAAGAATTATCTGAGTTTTTTTGAGAAAATACGGAAATTAAAAAATTACGAAAATAATGGGAATTACGAAAATTTCGAGTTTTTCGAAAATTGTAAAAACTAAGGGGGTATCATGAAAAAAACGAGAATTATCTGAAAAATGACAGAATGACAAAATTTCGAAAATTCTCAAAATAAAATACGAAAATAACGAGAATTATATGTTTTCGGAATTATGAAAATAACGAAGTTTTCTGAGAAATTACAGAAATTAAAAAATTAGGGAAATCTGAAAACTACAGGAATTATTCAAAAATTATGAAAAATACGAAAAAATCACGGGAATTAAAAAAAATTTGACAATTTTCAAAAAATTACGAAAATAACAGGAATTACAAAAAGTTACGGGATTCACGAATTTTCCGAAAATTGCAAATACCTACTAAGGGGGAATTATGAAATTAACGAGAATTTTTCGAGAAATGACGAGAATTACAAAATTACGAAAATTTGAGGAACTACAGGAATTATAAAAATTGAAAGAAATAAGAAAAAATCACGGGAATTGCGAAAAAATTACGATAATTTTTGGATTTATGAAAAAGTTACGGGAATTACAAAAATTACGAGTTTTCCGGGAATTGCAATAACTAAGGAGGAATTATAGAAATTGGGAGAATTATCTGAGAAATTACGGAAATATTGAAAATTCACAAAAAAAAAATCGAAAATAACGGGAATTACGAATTTTTGAAAATAACAAAAACTTAGGGGGAATTATAAAATAAGTAACTGAATATTTTGAGAAATTACGGAAATTAAAAAATTACGAAAATCTGAGAAACAACAGGAATTATTCAAAAATTACGGGAATTACAGAAAAATTACGATGAATTTTGGAAAGTTACGAAAAATTAAGGAGATTACCAAAAAAATATGGAAATTATGAGTTTTGCGAAAATTGCAAAAACTACGGAAAAATTATAAAAATAATGAAATTTATTTGAGAAATAACGGCTTTTAACAATTTTTATCACAATTTCGCTTTCACTTTTCCGCAATTTCAAAGTCCAAACTCACTTTCACGCAATTTCAACAAATTTTTCCGCGAATTTTGCCTCACTTTTCCGTTATTCTTGCCTCATTTTTCAATAAGTATAACCTCACATTCCTGCGATTTTGACACTCACTTTTTCGCAATTTTTGAAAAGTTACGGAAATTACGGAAAATTGCAAGAATTATGAAAAATTACTGGAATTAAAAAATAAAGAGAATTACGAAAATTACAAAAATTATAGGAATTACGAACCACCCCTCAAATTTGGAGCCTGGTTGCGCTTATGGTTTTCTCACTTTTTTAACGAAATGACCTGATTTCAAGATAATACACTTGGCTAAAAACAAGTACACCTACACTAAATACAACATATCTATGAACTTAGCTCATTTTGGCCCTATCTTGAGATAGGGCCTTATGTCATGAGACCGACGTTATGTCTCCTATAGAATCCTACTGACTTTACAGTTTGCTAATCAAAACCTTCTTACTGAAACGATGAAATTTCAAATTTATTGTTATTGAGATTTTGTGTCCTGATGGTCCGTTGGGATTCCCCAAACTCCATACACTAAATTAAACCGAGATTTGAAGCAGAATTCTATGAAAAAATGCACTCAGAAAAATTTAAAAATTGATAAATCACCCCGAATTGCTTAACACGATTTTATTTCCGGAATTATAAGTCCCAATGAGCTGAAATTTCCAGGAATTGTAGTCCCCTATTGGGATAAGAATCGCTGAAAATTTCAGCTTTCTATCTCTAATAGAAAAAAAGTTATGACTTTCAAAGTTTTCCTAAATCTAAATCATACTTTCTTACTGAAACGATGAATTTTCACATTTTTTTTATTAAGATTTTGTGTCCTAAGGGTCCTTTGGGATCCCCTAAACTCCATACACTAAATTATCCCGAGATTTGAAGCCGAATTTGGAAAAAATAAATACACTTCCTAATAATAAGTTTTTCTTTTATTTTATAAACAGAGCAGAAAAAAAAATTACAAAAATAATCAACCCAAGTTTGCAAAACTACTACCAGTTGATTTTTTAACATAATAAATTAATAAAAAATAACGTTAACTTTGGCTACAATTTAAAATTAACATTTAATGCTCCGAGAGCGGGAGGAATATATTACTTTTTTTTATGTATAAATTAAGGATAATAATATTCAATTTCTTAAAACTAAATTCAAAACAAAAACAATAAGGAATAATAACTAAAAATATTAAAATTAAACAAAAGTTTTTGTAGGGGTACTTTGTTGTTGGTGTTTTTAGTCTTGTAGTGTGAGGTACAATAAAACAAAATAAATTAAAAAATCACTTTTCTTTTGACTATGAAAATTTCCCCCATTTCATGTTATACATAAAACACTGTTTTAAATGCATTACACTATATGCCAAAAGTAAATAGATTATGTACTATGTACGAGACATTTACTTTTTATTACTTTGTACACAATAATTTCGCAAAAATGATACATTTGAAAAAATTGCTGAATCAGGAATAATACTGTTAATAAATAAACGAATAATAAAACTGAAAACTGAGGAAAAACGGAAAACAAATCATTTTTGCAAACATGTTATTGTTTTCCAAATATTATATAGCAAAATACATAAAAATATACTATGTAAAAGGTGTTCATATTCTCTTTTGCTCTAATAAAAATAAAAATAATACATAAAATTAAATGGCAATTGTATAGGAGTTTCAATTTATTATTTAGATTTTCAAACCTGAAAATTACCACAAGAAAGATCTATTGCAGGAAGTAGGAACTGAAAAAAACCCAATTCAAAAATTAAAATAAATTAAGTATAGAAAGTGTTTAGAATTTTTTTAAATCTACTGACTCTTACCGCAAGATTACAGAAAAATTGATATTTCATAAGTGTAAAACAGAATTATTGTTAGGGCCTAGTGCAAATTAAATTTTCATAATCACTCCTTTTCTTCCCTTCAAATAGAGTCTCTGTAATTTTGAATAAAATTTATTAAAAACAGGATATAAAACAAACTCCTAATAATTTCAAGAAAGCAGGGGTATCTTTTTGCTTCTTTTAAAATGTTAAAAATATGTTACAAAACTCAAAGAACAAGAGAAAATATGTTGTAATACTCATCACCATACACTTTATATGGTATTTTTTTTTTTTTTTTTGATTATGTCATGTGTATAGGTATAAAATCCTCAAACGCCACGTAAATGATATTTTTTATCTGATGCCAAATTGACTTTGCTTTTACAATTACATGGTTTGTTTTTTTTTTTATTTATCTTATTAAGACAAAACACTTATGGAAAACACAATCTACAAACTATAAAAGCACACACCATTTATACCAGCGTTTCTAAAACCACTATCATAAATATGTATCTTTTTTTTTTTTGTTTTTAAATAATTAAATATATATTATCAACTCTAACATTTTTTTCTATACATTATATTATTATGTTAAATATATTATATTGTTTTTTTTTTCTATACACAAGTAAGGTCCCTAGTCATTTCTTTTTTTTTTTTTTTTAGTTTACTTATTATTTTAACAAATTTATCATCTGTAAAACTTAAAGAGAATGTTGCTACTTTGAGAGAGAGAGAGCTGTAACGAAGAAAGATAAATTTATCATTTCAAATCTAAAGAAGCAATTTTATACACACAGTTCGCTTGATTTTGATGAATTTTTCACAGATTGTAGCTTGATTCTTCAGGAAAACATATGACGTATTACCGTTATTAAATGATTTGTCTTTATATCATATACAGGGATGGAAAGAAAGTAAGTAATTTTCAGAGTTTTTTGGGATACTATGTGGAGTGAACCACTGAAAATTCAGAACAGTTTTCAACACCAAATTGTAGCCTGAACTTCTCCGATCATTTTCATTTTTTATTTACTCTGATGCCGTAGCGAGGAGGATCAAATTAACTTTTCGTTGTATTTTTTGCTAATCTATCCGATAGAATTTTTTTTTTGAAATTCAAAATTTGAATTTTTTCGACAAAAAATTCAAAGGGGGTAGCCTCCGATTTATTTTTTTTAATTTTCAAAGCGTCCTAACTCGGAAACGAAAAGCTCGGGAGAATAACTTCAAATACAAAACTTATAGATCTCGTTAAATACTACAAAAAAGCCTATAAGAAGTATTCCGCCACGGGATACCGTTTTCGAAAAAATCGACCTGGAAAATTTTAACAAAATTACAAAGAATTTCAACTCTGACAGCTAATATCTCAAAGACAAATACGGCCTAGAATCTCAATAAAAAAAGATTTTATAGGTAATTTCATTCTCTTTCAAAAGAGATATGACTCGAAACGATCGATTGAGAAATAGCGGAGCTATAAGCGAAAAAGTAACGTCGTGTCACATCGCTGAAATTTTTATCTGGCCAAAATCGAAATATCCTTTTTTAATTTTTTCTCGGCCTTAAAATGCGTCATAGCAAGCAGGGTCCCATAAGCTTTTCAACGTTTTTTTTGCTCCTTTATCCAATTTTTTTTTTTAACTTCGGAAAAAAAAATTCAAAATCAAGAAAGTTGGGGAAGCTAACTTTTTTCCGGTACATCGGAGAGAACTGAAACTCGGAATATCGACTAAAAATCACATTTTGAATATTCCCGATTTTTGATTGGCTCCAAATTATCCGCTGACCAATAGAATTATAGACTGGGCCCCGTGATTAAAATAACTTTAGCCCTTCGGGCTCTCGTATAACTCCAGCCCTTCGGGTTCTCATATAACTCCAGCCCTTCGGGCTCGTATTACTCCGGCCCTTCGGGCTCGCATATAACTCCGGCCCTTGAAGTGCCGGTCAGATTTATCCAAATTACATTGAAATATCGAAATTTGGAAAATGTAATTTGTGAATTATTATTTTTATTAGGAATCAGGAATAAAAGACAGATTGAATTTTTTTGGGGAAGCTTAGCCTCCCCTGCCTCCTCTGACGAGCCGCCACTGGTTATTAAATGATTCGTTTTTATATCGTATACAGGAATGGAAAGAAAGTCAGTAATTTCCAGAGTTTTTTGAGACACCCTGTGGAGTGAACCACTGGAAATTCAGAACAGTTCTCAACACCAAATTGTAGCCTGATCTTTTCCGAACATTTTCATTTTTTATTCATTCTGATTTTTTCAATATTATTGAAAATACAGAGTTTTGAAGAAAAGGTGGATAATGACCCTAATTTTCTCCACGTCGACATACGAACTGGATATGAAAATGTGCCGTTTGCAATTTCAAGTTGTGTGTGTAAATGTTTACTTCATGTTAAATATTGCTCGCAGTTTTACCTCTTACCGATCAATTTATTGTAGAAAGAATGCTCACAAATATACCAGGGGATCAGATAGTCCTGACTTGAAGTTGGAAAACGACACATTTTCATATCCAAATCATATGTCGACGTGGAGAAAATTAAGGTCAATATCCACCTTTTCTTAGAAACTCTGTATTTTCAATAATATTGAGAATATCAGAGAGAATAAAAATGAAAATGTTCAGAAAAGATCAAGCTACAATGTGGTGTTGAAAACTGTTCTGAATTTCCAGTGATTCACTCCACAAGGTGTCTCAGAAAACTCTGAAAATTATTGACTTTCTTTCCATCCCTGCATATAAAAACGAATCATTCAATAACGGTAATACGTCAGATGTATTCCTGAAAAATCAAGCTACATTCTGTGAAAAATTCATTGAAATCGAGCTTATTTAGTGTACATTTTGTCCCGTTTCCCTAATTTTGCTGGCGTGTGTATATTCTTACTGAAATCCTTTTGATTTTATTTTGTTTTTAAATTATTATTTTTGAAAAATTGAAAATTTTCTTTGGCAGTCATGATTTGTTACAGCATCCTGCAAAAATTGAGTATAAATAGAATAATAAAAACCACGTCGATTGGTGGTGATGTATGAATAGCTTAAAACATTTAATTAACATTAAGCAACGTTTTTTAGGTAAAGTCTGTCGATTTTTATCTGATACGCCAAAAAAATGGCTCCCTTCAATAAAACGCCAATGGTCACCTGACGTCACACCATAAGCTTCACCCCCTCGCCCCTCATACGAAAAGTGTCAGATTAAAAACGACGGACAATATGTATAGGCATCTAAATCCAAAACAACCTGTTATTTTTTTCCTAGGTTGGATTTTTGACAATCCTCTTCTGCCTAAAGTCGTAAACTTTCCGGCAGAAAAATACTATGTCCGTAGATAGACTGCTGGAAGGCGGCTGTTTCCGTATTCTGGGATACGGATCTGGAAGCGGCACACATCTTGGCCGTTCTTCTACACCCTCTTGTATTCGTTTGAAATGTTTTTTGTATCTGGAATTAAAAAGAAGATTAGAAAGAATTCAAACTAGCTGAAATGTGTTCTAAAAATAACATTAATGGGAATCGTAGATCATTTTTGGTCACACTTCAACAATCTTGTGTCGGGTCCAGATCAAGCAGACAATAAGTAAACACGATTTTGAGACAAAAACACGACAAAACTGCGATAAAAATTTGGGTATTGAGACAAGACAAACTTGAGAGAAACTGAACACCAGAAAGACAAAAATGTGTGGGTGAGACCAAGCTTGTTAGTTCAGTTACGTGAGGATGTTATTGGACTGAGTGGTGGAGATTTGCTCAAGCTTCAAGAATTTTCTAAGAATGTCCACCGAAGATTTCGAAAATCCAATATACCTTGTTGATCGTGCAGTTGCCAAAAGACATACTAACTTCAAGACAACAACAGACAAACATTTGTGTGATTTTCCCCTAATTGACACTGGTCTCCTACTTTTGTCAACACACTCGTCCAGACTGCGCCGACAACTTGTCGTAATATACACAGATAAAACAGAGACTTTTTGATCTTTACCGACTCACGGCGGGACTTTCAAAAGTCTCGGAATTTGGAAACAAAACTAAAAAAAAGACAAAAATGTTGCAGAAATGTATTAGTATAATGCTCCCTATAATATATTATATTTTAATGCAATTTGCTCAACGGTTACCGAGTAATTGAGGTTTGAAAATTTTGAAATCAGAATTTAAAGAGGATACCCTTATGAAAAATTCAATTTTTTAATTTTTTAGTTTTGCTCAATTTTGATTTTATGAATCTATAGAGCGGATCAAAATTAGTGGGAAACAACCCTGACATTAATTCCAAATGCCCATTTTAAGCAGAAACAAAAATAAAAAGAAAATCCTATTTTGGCTCTGGAAAATTTTCGAAATCTTGACATGGTCATGAATAATTGCCCATATCTTTGGCAAATTTTAAGTAAATTTAAATAAATTATACATCATTGGAAAAAGCATTAAATTCTCTATAAATCTATGCAAAATAGAGTTCGATAGCTCGAATAGTTTACGAGCAATTGAGCCTCAACGTTGACTTTGAGTCCAAATTTTGTCAAAAATTTCAAACTCAATTTGCTCAAAAACTATAAATCTGGAAATATTGTAGATTACAGACCATTTAGAACCTAATAAAAGCTACAAATTCTAGAAATTTTAGTGCAATTTGCTCAACGATAACCGAGCAATTGAGGTTTGAAAATTTTGAAATCAGAATTCAAAGAGGGTAGGTACCCTTATGAAAAATTCAATTTTTTTATTTTTTAGTTTTGCTCAATTTTGACTTTATGAATTGATAGAGCGGGTCAAAATTAGTGGAAAACAACCCTGACATCAATTCCAAATGCCCATTTTAAGCAGAAACAAAAATAAAAAGAAAATCCTATTTTGGCTCTGGAAAATTTTCGAAGTCTTGACATAGTCATGAATAATTGCCCATATCTTTGGCAAATTTTTAGTAAATTGAAATAAATTATACATAATTGGAAAGAGCATTAAATTCTCTATAAATTTGTGCAAAATTGAGTTCGAGAACTCGAACAGTTTTCGAGCAACTGAGCCTCAAAGTTGACTTTGGGTCCAGATTTTGTCAAAAATTTCAAACTCAATTTGCTCAAAAATTATAAATCTGGAAATATTGTAAATTACAGGCCATTCAAAACCCAAGTTCGAGGTCATCTTTGACACAAGCTTAGCTGCTTATTTCCAAACTTATCACAATTTGGTTTCTGGGCCTGAGGTCGTATTTTCGAATATTCTCGTATACGAAATTCAATACGATTTCGAATGCTCTCCATTCAATTTACATTGTTGTCAATCAAAGTTCGTGTACGAAATCTACTCGAATGAATTCGAAAATACGACCCCTGGTAACCTGATGAAATCTTTAGTTTGTGAATGTAGTAGAAAAACACGATACGATTGAATACCGTTGTGAAACCACAGTGTGAAACTTACAAAACTAGACCATAGAAACTTGACTAATAAATCGACATTACCAGGACATTACACACTGATTACAGACACTGAAATATTGTTATACCTTAATAAACAATTTAACTACCTGGCTAACAATTCTCACCTGCAATATTCATTATAAGTAACCACATAGCACTTGTCATCTATGCACGCTACCGAATTGGAATCCTTATGTCTGGAAGCAAAAACTTCATCCGGTTGGTCTGTCATTAGCCGACCTTGCTCGGTATGTTCCGGTCTGTAATACCACAAGAGAGACATCATCATTTCGCCTGGAAAAGGAAAATCATTAATTTTTTAGCCACAAGCGTTATGTGAAGACATACCATCTTCTGAATTTTCCCATAGCGCAGCGATTTTGGCTACATAAGGAAGGTCGTTTTTCCTTGGTCCTGCCTTAAGTAAAACACAATCCCCTGGTCTGATAAGGTCACCTTCTCTATGCCTCATCGAGGGGTAGCATTTTCTTACTAATGTAGTTTCATCACTCTGTAAAAATATAACATAATATTTTGATTACAATTTAATATAAACTTACATTTATAAAAACTTTTCCTTCATATGGTTCACCTTCCCACATCCAACCATTGGACCATTTTGGCACACTTGCCGTCGGTTTCCTAGTAACTTTCACTGGTACTTCAGGTATATCAATTTTGCATTTAGAAGTAGTTGTGGACTTTCGTCTACTAGCGCCTGTTTTTGTATTATTATTTAAGATTTTGATTGGTTTGGAAGTTTTCGGTGCCGGTTTCTTAATTTTCTCCTCAATTTCGCCTTTCTTTGAACCTTGTATTACGTCCTCTATTACTTTGTCTATGTGATTTTTCGCTATGAGGTTGTCTAGAACTTTTGGTGCTATTTTAGCGGGGCTTGGTTTGTTAATGGTTTTCTTTTGCGGTGATGGTTTTTGGATTACTGTTTTTTTACCAACTGCCTTTATCCTTCTGTTATTTGTTTGTTCTTTTGTTTTTTTTGTTGAAGTCTTATGTTTGACTTTCGTTAATTGTGCTTTTGCCCCTTTACTGACTAATTTCTTTTTGCCGTTGCTTATTTTAAAGCAGCTTGTGTGTTTTCTGATAAAATCTTTGTAAGAAGTTATTTTCTTTTTCTTTGTTGGTGGGGGTATTATTTCTTCAGCTACTTTTTCTTTTGACATGGATTGTTTCCTTTTCATATTTTTCACTTTAACATTTTCTGCAACTGTAGCTATGCATGGTGGTAAAGGTTCTTCTTCTGGTTCTTTTAGTATTGGAGGTACAGATTTTTCAAAATCTGGTTTATTTATTGTAGGTTCAGTTAATTGTTCACAGTTCATTAGTTCTGTTTGTGTCGGTTCCAATTCCTCAAGACATTGAGTAGTTTTTGAATCAATATTTAATGAATCTTTTGTGCAAGTATTTTCTGTACAAGCTTCTGGAATTTTCGAGTCTTCTTTCACAACATCTAAATCTTCAATAAAAACATCCTGGTTTTTATTAATTTGTTCTTTACCTTCAGGACTTTCTATTTCCCTTTTTACATAGTCTTGCGCCGGATTGCACATAAGCAACATAGTATTTTGCATATTGTTTCTTACATTAGCCTTCCCCACTCTGGCTTTACGTTTTTCAATGTGACACACTTCCGGTGATCGAGATTCTTGTTTTGGAGTTGCAGGAGGTTGATAATTGGCCCCCGCAGGCGAAGGCGGTGGCGGCATGCCTCCAGAAGGCATCCCAGCAGAACCTCTGGCCGGGCTGGGCGGCCCTGTCGCACTAACTGGTTCTAGTGGTAAGGCTAGAGCCACCGGAGGTAAGGGCTTGGAGTCTTTATGAATGTTAGACCTCTTACTTTCACCAGTAAGAGGCCCAGTATGTCCGTTTTTTGGACACGAATTTAAAGGACATGGACAATGTTGATATGTGGTATCTGGAAATAATTAGCTGTTATTTGATTAAGGTTGTAATAAGATACTTACTTATGTATGGAATTGCTCTTGTAGGAGAATGCGAGTAGCATGTAGGTGGAAGACCATATGCGGAAGTGTGGTAATATTGTGGAGCTGGTTGATAGGGGTCCACTAAAGTAGGAGGCGCTGGCGGTGGTGGATACGACTCCATTATGGCTGGTGGAGCAGGTGGACCGCCTGATACTGAAGGATACGATCCACTTCCAGATACCGGCGAAGCAGTAACCATCTAGAAGCAAATGTATTTTTCAGATCATGTTATTGCTGTACTTTGCCATTTATATTCAATCGAGAGCCAGGAAAAGTTCAAATTTTTATTATTACCGGCTCTTGATTCCCTAAATGATGCTTTTCTAAACATTAAATCATCAAAATATTCATTGACGAGCTTCACAATTTTTGTAAATGCAAGCAAGAACCAGAAATAGTTCAAGTTTTCATTATTATCGGTTCTAGATTCATTGGAAGATATTTTTGAGGATAAATGAGAACAGAATTTTAAATAGATGTTACCTGTTGACTAGGTTGGACAGGTGGAGCACTCGTAACTGGATACAGTTCGCTAGCATGTCCCGGATAGTAAGGGTAACGATGATAAGTGGCACTCGGTGCATACTTGGTATGCCGCATGTATCCACCAGGTGGACTCGGATAGCACATGTCGTGATGCGCATAAGGTGGAGTAGGAGGTGGAGGCGTCTGGTAATGATACTGCGGAGGACAAGGGTAAGTGTGGTACTGCGAGTACGACGGGTATCTGTACGACGCTGGAGGTTGATGGCTTAGTGCGGATGGTGGCTCCTTGGTTCCTGTTGTTACTGAAGTAATTATTACCTGGAAGAAAAAAATATACTATAACCTAATTTATAAACAACCAAAACTACATACACTGTGCATTGTCTGGTCACTTACCATATTTATTTATTTATTTACTCAATCAGTTTAAAACAGGCTTTAGTAGTACACATAAGCAAATATAAAGTAAAATCTAAAGTTTAGACACAACGTTTAATCGACAATAAGGAACAATTCAAAAGATCACACTCCCTATAATTTCTGTTGTAATTGCAAATCATTCTGTCCACAAAAGCTGTGAATCCATAATTTGTTCTGTTGCTCTGGTGCTCATAAAAAAGTTGATGTCTGGTTCGTGTAATGGGGACCAAAAATAATATTGACTCCAACTTTATGCTGCAGTCTATCCAATTATTCAGGATTTTGTAAAGAATAATGAGTAGGACACATCATCCCACACAGCAGCAGTCTGGTTTCATAAGGTATTCCAGATGAAGGAAAGCCGTGTTTATATAGTAGGTATTTTAGAAACTTGTTTTGGACGTTTTCTAGTCTATTAATATGGATGGTATAATGTGGGGACCAGATATCGGAGCAGTATTCAAGAGTGCTGAGTACTAAGGCGTTGTAAAGACATGTAAGTGCCTTGGTGTCGTTGTTGAGTTTTGGTATTTCGCTTAATGAAGCCAAGCAATCTGCAGCTTTTGACAACAATATTATCGATGTGCATTTTGAATATAAGTTTTTGAACGGAGGTTACTCCAAGGTCGATGATGAATTCCACATTATCAATTTGTTGACCACCAATCTTATATGTTGACATGTGAGGAATGTTATTGATTTGCAGTAGGTTTGAAGAACACAAAGAGGCAAATCTGTCGAGATCTGGCTACAGTGGGTTAGAACCTCCTTTACTAACATTTCCAAAATTTCAGGTCATCAGCATACAGGAGAAAGTGTGAGGAATGGAAGCAGGAGGAAACATAGTTGATTAACAACAGTAGGAAAAGAACAGGTCCCATGTGTGATCTTTAGGAACACCCGAAGTGACCTTGACGTTTTTTGAGGAGTAGCCACACACTTCAACCCTCTGGGTTGAAGTGTGTGGCTAATGATTTGATCCATGCTAAATAGTTTCTAGAAATACCAATTTCTGATAGTTTTTTATAGGAAGGAGGTGGCACACACTATCAAAAGCCTTGGCTAGATCTGTGTAAATGGAGTCGACCTTGTGTCCAGCCTCAACAGAGGTTCTTAAGAAGTTCTGGTAGACTGCTAGGTTTGATGCAGTTGAACCTAAAGAATCCGTGTTGTTCTGGTATAAGATAAAGTCTATAGGTTTCGAATATTTTCTCGGTTAAGATTGATTCGAATACTTTTGGGACAGCAGAAAGTATCGATATTCCACAGTAGTTCTCAACATCGCACCTATCTCCAGACTTGAAAATGGGAAGAAGGAGGGAAAACTTCCACTTTTCAGGAAAAAAGCCACAATCCAGAGATCGTTGAAAAATAATACAAAGTGTTAAGGCTAAGGAAGACGAGCAACCTTTCAGAAATATAGCTGGTATTCCGTCGGGACCTGCTTTTTTGGATATGTCCAGTAGATTTAAGTTTCTCCTGTGTCTGCAAGTTATGAGATGATAGGGTAGTAGCAAATTGGCAGGTTCAATGGATGTGGTATCTAAGTTATCGTGGCTGGAGTAAGATATGCTTGAAAGTATGTGGCGAATGCGTCAGCAATGGAATCAGAGTCGTCCAATGTGCAATCTTTGTACTTCATCTGCGTCAGCAAGTTCGAGTTCCTCTTTAAATTATTAATAAATGACCAAAAATGTTTGACATTTTGAGGGATCAGGTGCTCAATGTTGGTAACATATAAAAAGTAGCACATGTCAATGCGGACTTTAGTCCTGATTTCTTGTATTTCTTATATAATCTATTCTTTTTCGCGATACATTTACGAAGTCCTTTGTCATACCATTTAGGATATTTATCGCTCTTTATTGTTTTTATATTTAACATCTATCATCAAGAAAATAGAAAATAAATCACAATTAGCAAGAAAACGCTATCTCTATCTAAATGCGGCACCTAAATTCGATTCGATTACACTAAACTCGATAGCGTCGGGTTTTCGAAAGCTTCTCTTTCGCCTCGTTCTTGGGCTATTCTGTTTCACTCTGCCTTTTCGTTTCCGTTCGTTGAAGAAGAGATACGTTTTACAAAACGTTATTTAACAGGCGCAAAATTTATAGGATTCAATGCGCATTTTGTAGTAAGTGATTAGCGTATTCAAAATGAAATATAGGTACCTATACACATAAGTAATTACATCAGGTTTAAATTAACTTATCCAGGTGATACAATTATACATAGAATTATAGAAATATTTGGATAGCATAGTAAGATTCAGATAAACTTGCTGGTAATTTTCTGCAAGATAAATTTTCCGTGAGCTAACAGCAGCACGAAAAATATTACACTTTTTTCACGGTCCCGAACCATCGGCTGAAGGTTGTAATTTGAAATGTCACAAAAATATATTTATTTTTCTTAATTATTTTTATATATTTTGGACTCATTTAAAAGCGCGCCTGCACTTCTCCAAGTGAAAATGGACGAATTTGAGACCATGCTGTCCTGGAAACTCGGAGCAAAACGGGGGTCCCTTTTTAAGGAAAGTTTGTGTCCTGTTAGAAGTTGATCCCCAACCATTATTTGGTTGTCTTCAGCCAGTTTGGTACCTCCAGATATCAAATTTGTGAAAACTTCCGAGGCTTTACAAGGATACCGTCAAGGCTTGTATAATTATCTAACTATGGGCGTCTTAAACGTGCCATCTTTTTTACCTTTTCAGATTTTTGAATTTATCTTTTTAAATAATAGTTAATTATTCGAATAGTGTTTAGTTTGGCTATTCTTTTATAATCAAAATAATTTTATACAAACTAGTGGCGCCTTCTCTTTACTGTACCAACACCAAGGACCACCCCAAGCTGAAGAACCACTGAGCACAGTCGAGCACAATTATGAGCATTCTTTTGTATTGACAAAAGAGCGTTACATAAATTGGCGACCAACGTAATGGGGCCTTGAACAACGTTTAACTTAGCCTAAATTCTTGGACAGTTTAGAGTAACTTATCTATAACTTTCTTCTTTTGTTTTTTAAAGTAAAAAATGTTTAAAAAAAATCTGACATTGACCGTTTCATGATTACACAAGTTTTTTTTTGTTTTGTTTAAATTTTTTTTCTCTTTCTCTGAGAAATATCTACAAAGGTAGCAGTGCTGAGCGGCTGAAAAGCCGAAACGACTCCCCCATAATCTACAATCTACATCTACCATCGGATCAGTTTCATCTATGAACTATTTTGATAAATACTAAAGATACTTGCCTCATTATCCGATGAATCACCATTATTCGAACCAGGTGCCGGTGGCGGTTGCGTCGAACTGACCGAAGTTGGTGATGCGTCCGAAAGCGGCACGCTTTTGGGTATCGGAGGCGGTTGTTGTACTGTGGGCGGCTGACCATGTCCGTGAGATACTGATATTAGTGGTCCTGCTGGTTGATAGTATCCTAAAACACAATAGACGAGTAAAAATACCTGTCCAAGAATAATTGTCACGTTATCATTACCCTTTGTAATGTGCCAAGAGACGAGAATTTAAATTTAAATATTCCCCCTTGCCTGGTACCTAGATCGAATAACAATAGAGCAGAGCCTGTTTTATATTCTTTTCAGAAACATTTAATATGAATAATGATAATACATACATATATCAAAATCATATAAACTTCTCGGGCAATTTATTTCTATTAAATTATCGATATAAACTGATACCCATCACGATATAAATTTTCGATCAGTAATTAATCTTTGATTGCACCGATAGGAACAAAATCAACAGGTTATCGATATAATTCACCACAATATAAATTGGTGGATTTCTGAAATAAAACAATACGGCAGAGCATAGAGCGTTAAACCAATATTTGGATTCCGCATAAGCTACGGCAATGAATAAATTGAACTGATATTGTTCCATAGTGCGATAATATGCTGGCGAAAGTTATTATTGTGAATTAATTTGAAATCGAGTGATTGCGTGGGAAATTAAATATTTCTCCTTTATTATTATATAGAAATTGACAGTGATGAAAATTAATAGTTTGGGTTAATATTATAATAATGTGTATGGTTTAATTATAAATGTTTTATTTCATTATGCATCAATTTGATATTTAAAATAATATGTGGTGAAAATTGTGGAACATTTCACCAAACTAATTAGCTTCAAAAAACACGGGGTCAGCTATGAGCTCGTCCGTACAATATTATTTGCAAGGCATAGGCGCCTTAATGATTTCCAGCTTGGAAAACACACCGGACGTGATCTGCATAATAATACCGCAGTCAACTTTTAAACGGTCCAAACTCGCCTTGTTGTCGAGAGACTTTACGAGATCGCTTATCGAACAAGAACAACGGGAAATCGAGCAGCAGCAGGTTGGTGACCAATCTAAATCAGGAAAAAATGTAGATGATTGTTCTCCTTCAAATTTGCTTCTTTCTAGTATATTTTGAAGAAAATAATTTGTATTGTGCTTAATCGAAAATTTCAAATGAGATTGTTTCTGTAACAGTCTGGCAGCGATTGAAAATTTCGTAAATTGACTAATTTTCCCTAATTGAGTAAATACACGAATCTGCTCGAATTACTGTGTCGCTATTGCCACTCTATATTCGAGGGCCTTCTGATGCCAAATGGAGCTACATTTGTGAAATTTTGTTTACCCTTTCAGCAGATTGAACATCAGCTATTGAAATAAATCATTTGATTGCCTTGTAATTCTAAGTTTATTTATTTATTTATTTAGAGATACACTTTCCAAACATCCCTCTTGGAGTAATTACAGGAAAAAGAGCAAGGAGCAGTAAAAACAAAAACAATAGAAAACACAACAAAAAACAAAAAATAATAAAATAATAAAAAACAGAAATGTAAAATGTAAAATAGAGAATAAAGCACAGTCAAGTTCTAAAGAATAATACTTTCCTTAAGCAGTTCTTGAATATGTCTTAGACTCAAGCCACAAAAATCAGGCACCAAATGCTGTTCCAAGAAGTTATTGTACATAGTCAACATATTGCTGATCGGGGAGATATTATTACAAACATAAAACAAATCTTTATTTACAATTCTCAGCCTAGCATTTGGTACCTTAAACTTAATATAATTCACAATAAAACAATCTCTGTACCTATAACATTATTAATAATACAGTATATAAACAATATTGCCTGTCTCTCTCAAATAGTTTGTGTGCCAGGGGGTAACAACTGGTGGCAATACATGTAGGTACAAATTTTATGGCATTACAAAGCATTACGTGCGCATTACAGGCATTACTGCAGAATTACCGGCATTACGGTGGCATTACTCTGGCACCATTGGACATAACTCGGTATTTCTACAAGGGATTATGCTGCATTACCAGGCATTACCTACGAATATCGCGGAACTACGCTTGCATTCAATGGAGTTACTGTTGATTTTTAACCCTCGAATTTTCAAAACATTCACTGGGAGATCATATTCATATTACCAACACCAACCCCAATATTAAAAATATCTTTGGGTAAATTTGTGTGTGTATCTATGAAATAAAAATAATTTCACATACCTATACAGGATGAAGCCAAAAAAAGTTACTGTAAACCACCTATGTATTTGTTTCAAATGGGACACCCTATATATTATAGGTCTGTTCTTAGGGCCGCGTTAATAGCCGCCATGTTTAAATTTAGTCTTCGAAAATGACGACTGCGTCACTCTACACATACGGTTCAATATTTTATTTTTTGTCAAAAACAAAATCTGTTTGTCAGTGAAACACTTAGTGACAGAGAAAGACAAATATACAATTATGATGCTCCCAATGTAGCTTTTTTGCCGTGGCGCCATCTACTTGAAATTGCTTGAACTGTTTTCACCTTCAAAATTCGTTTTAAGGTCAACTCAAAAAATCCGCAATAATTTCCAAAATCCTTTGGCATAAACATTATTTGATATATTATCTACAATCTCTACAATTAGCTTTCTTTAGTTTTTCGTGGTTATCGATAAAATATGCTTTTCACGGATCCAAGCTTGATAAACATGCAAATATGCAACCACCAACACATTTAATTGTTTTGGTGGTTGCGAACATGATTTTTAAATTAAAAAAAAGGCTGAATATCGAAAAACCAAAATAGGGAATTGTAGATAATTGATCAAATAATGTTTATGCCAAATTTCAGCCAATTCTGATGTGCCGTTTTTTTAAAGACCCTAAAACAAGTTTCGAAAAATCAACCAATCACAGTTTAAACATGGCGGCCATTAACGTGGCCTTAAAGAAACAACAAACCAATCAGAGCGAATTTCATTGGTAGAAAATAGTGAGAAAACTTGTGTATTGGTAGCGATTTGCACAGAGAAAACAACTGAAAATAGGAGAAAACGAGTTTCACTTTCTTGTCTGCTCGAGAGCTGCTTAGAGGTTGTTATAATGGTGGTACCAAATTTGGTATCCATACTACCATCATCGAGACCACCTATGGGTACCATTATCAGATAGTTATTGGAATGTTAAGATAGGATTTTTTTTGTTGCATTAAAGCTGAATATGTTTATCTCAAAAAACTCGAGTATTTGCTCCTGTTTTATTTGTATGAGCCAATATATTTGTCCCATTTAAAATAAAATACTCAAATATTCTTCTGCAACTTTTTTTTGGCTCACCCTGTGTATGTAAAATTATTTATATTTCATAGATTCTAGATCTAGACCTAAATTTTTTATGAATCAATAAAAATCATTGGATCAGAACCATTTCAACTGTTGAGTTAGGATAAATACAGAGATAAAATATTAATCTAGAATGGGTTAATAAACTAATAAAATTCTAACCATTGGAAAACTCTACCAATAGGTATGTAAAGAAGACAATGTTTAACAGTAGGAATTAGGAAGTTAAAACCGAGGTTAAAACGGTTTTTGTGAAATAAATTACGAAATAAATTAACATTTTATTCAGATTTAGGGCCGGTTTATGCGCCTTCTGATAAACTGTCAAGTATGCAATCTAACGGATAAAATCGCAATCTGTAATCTCATTGGTCGGCCAGTTATTTATCGACCAATAGAATTATAAAATACATTTATTTTGTAGAGTTACCAGCAAGTTTAATATGAAGATGAATAAACCGGGCTTCAGAAAAATAAGTACGTACCTATAGAATAATGATAAATGTATACAAACTATAGAATGTGATGTTTGTTTTCAACTATTATGGTTTATTTTTCTGATCCAGTAACGTAAATCTGGAGATAAAACTATTGCATGTAGTGTAATATAGGTAAACCTACATTACCATAATGGCACTAAATGAACATATACTGCCATCATGATGGCATTACCACAGATCATGTAATACACATGCGTAAGTAAGTATCCTTAATAAATATGTTCAAAATTTATTGATGCGGCATTGGTGCGGCCAGCATATGTCCGCCAAATTAACCTTGAACCACGAATTAGCCGCTTTTTCGCATCTGTATGTAGGTGATCTGTGGCAGTACGATGGTATTACATTGGAATTACCGGAATTACTTCAAAAAAGTATGTAATGCGCAATACATGTACACATTTTGGTGCAGTTGTTACCCCCTCGTTTGTGTTTACTTGTGTACCAATTTTTCCTCAATTTCTCTGGAATTTTTTCACTTTATTTCTCAATTTTTGTCTATTCTCGGCTCTTGCATTATTGTCGAGATAAAGAAAATTCAAGAGCCTGGAATAGAAAAAACATTAATTTCCACTCATCTATCAATTTTTTTCTTGATTTTTCTTACATTTCTTCTCTTTATTTCTCAATTTTTGTCCATTACTTATGTATTCCTTCTTTGAAGAATCAAAGGACAATCCCATAACGCCGGTACTGAGTTGTGACGTGAATCAATCAAAAACGTTTTTGAAAATTTACGAGTTTTTCAGAAAAAAAAAAATCTATGGAGCTTCACATATTTTGGCAAGTGCCTCTTAGATAGCTACTCTTTTTTACGGAAATATGATAGGGATTCTGTCTACAAAGTAAGAGTTGTTGACATTTGCAAATCTCCATACACTTTTTTTCTCACTACACGATATCAAGAGAATTTCAGCTAATTACCTGTCCCGTTTGTGCTGAGATCAAACCAAGGTATCATAGAAATCAGGGGACCATTATAAAAGCTACTGCCCCTTTCAAAAGAATAAATATAGATTTTTAAGGTCCATTGTTATCTGTTATAAATTGCTTAACTCAACTTTTTTCTGTTTTTGGGACACCATCGTACCTGCATAGTGATAGAGGGACATCATGTATGTCTGAAGAACTGAAAACATTCTTAACACGACATGGGATTGCAACTAGTCGCAATACTCCTTATAACCTGCAAGAAAACGGGCAGTGTGAACGGTATAATGGTATTACATGGAAAACCATTCAGTTAGCTCTAAAATCAAGAAACATGAATATAAGACATTGG